GCTTTCAAAGCGCTATTTAAAGTGCCCTTCTTTCTCCGTGCTGGCTGTTGTCGCCCTGTTGATGACGTCAGCGACGCGGTTTAATCGGGCGCGGCTTAGTCGAATTTCACGACTAAGGGTCACGAATTTCAGAGACTCACATTTTGGAATGCTTGGAACAAAACAAGAAATATTCCAGAACAGTGGACATTATTTTAAAAAGGTTCAAAGTTCCAAATTTCACCTCCACACCCCACCCCCACCCAGTGCAAGACAGTTGATGTCAAGGACACAAAATTCTTCTATACGAACTGTCACACGTTTATTGATTTAGAAAAAAATTATATAGCCACTCAGCTCACTTGAAGTGACTCTAGGCGCCATACAAGGTTAAAACTAAAACAATAGTGCAATTCAAGAAGCAAGATGCCATTGTGATAATATATATCACATGCATGGAATTAAAAAAATAGAATCCTGCCACTTACAACACTGAAACCATAACTACACAAGCAGCCAACAAGACTCCTGACTGCAATGCCTGGAAAAACTTTTAGGTCTAATGCATTGACAAAAATCGACAAGTTTGGGGTCATCATTATCATAGGGGTAACACTGAAGGAAGATGCAGCAACAGAGAAAGTGTACCACAAAGGAAAAAGGGGCACCCAGTATTGCTTTATACACTTCTTGCCTTTCCACATTCTCTGTATGTGCATGGAAAAACTGAAGGTGGTCATTTCACCAGGCTTGACTAGATGCCATTAACAGTGCAATCATCCAGTTTCCCTTTCTTTTTTCTTCAACCCCCCTTTCCTTTTTTTGGTTCATTCATTTTCCCACTCTATAAATAGCTTAATAGCAATAACTATCTGATATCCCAGCTGTCATTCAAAATATTTCGTCAGTATACATGCATTATGGATTCTGTAGAGAGAGAAGTAATTTAAAAGGAGGACAGGAAAAAAAAGTCTGTTAAAAATCCTGCACTTGTTTGTCAGGGAGAGTAGAAGGAAGGAAGGAAGGAAGGAAGGAAGGAAGGAAGGAAGAAAGGGAAACTGGATGATTGCACTGTTAATGGCATCTAGTCAAGCCTGGTGAAATGACCAC